AAAATGGCTGCCATTTTTCATCTTGAGAAATTTTTGTCTGTCAACAATCACCCTACTAAGCAGGTATCCAGAATCTGTACCTTCTTCCCCCTGCTATAACCAATTTGGAAGCACTGGAAGTGATCTAATTATGCGCAATGACTTATACAGGATTTCTGTTGCAGTGTTGCGACAGCCAATCAGATTGCGAGTTCTTAATTAGCATTGCTAATTGCTTATCGCAGGGGGTAAAAAGAAAGAATATATTCTGGATTTTGAAGCCCTGTGATCAGATGATGATCAACACTATGCAGAATGTTTTAAAACCTCTGTTGATGGGATTCCCATTTAAAGTTATTTTTGTTCACCATCTATACAGAAGACATGTTATTGTCAGCAATTTTGGGATTTTTAGTCATAAAATCTTGTCTTTGAAGTTGAAACATTTCAACTGATTAGTTTTGGGGCATTTTGTTTAGACCCAGGGTACTGTTCATTATGGGTATACCTCTCTAATTATGTGCTTAAAACGCTAATTTTTTTTTATATCACCGAATGAAGTTTGAGAGGCATATAGGAAAGTCGCCTTCCATTCGTCCATCAATTTGTCCGTCCATCCGTTTGTCTGTCCATCCGTTTGTCCTGGCGATAACTCAAATACCAGTTGATGGATTTGATTGAAATTTTATAAGCTTTTGCTTTATGGAAGTAGAACCTCTGTCGGTAAGGGATTTTCAATATGGCCTCTCAATTCAAATGGCTGCCATTTTTCGAAAAAATGTAATCTTTAATAACTCAAATACCAGTTCACGGATTTGGTTCAAGTTTTATATGATGATGCCTAGGGACAAAGGAGCTATGCTGAAGAAGAGATATTCTAAATATCAAAATTGGGGCCATTTTTGTAAAAGAACTGAATCTTTGATAACTCAAATACCATTGAATTGATTATCTTCAAAGGGCCATGTGCAGTATGGCAAGTGATTTTGGGAAGCTGTATTTCTGGTCAAGGGTATATTTCGATATTTCGATACTTTATATATTAAAACAATATCTTAACTTCAACAAAGCTGCATAAAATGAAATAAATCTCATTTGGATTATAAAGATTTGTAATGGATTAGTAACCCACCCCCTCACTATCCAATAATGTTAATAATAATCATTGCTGCATATTCTCTTTATTTAGTCATGATTGTTGCCTAATATATGCCAATGTTAATATGGTTCGTCAATGTAACAACAGCTCCATGTCACACGTTCGTCAACGTAACATTGATCTTATGTCAACGTAGCAAAAGCGAGGGACTAAATATGTGAATTGCATCTTCGTTAATATATCAAACATAGAACCACCTGCACATTCTCAAACATCTTTTTTAACTTTAAGCCAAATTATTGTCCACAACTTGACTTATAAATCATGTAAAATCGAGAAATAAAAATATATCGAAAAACGAAGCCCAGAAGTTCTTCCATCTTGTTACGCTTACGTATTTTAGCGTAACTAGGTCAGTACCAGTGTATATAGAAAACCCCGCTAGGACTCCTGATTCAAAAGCTCTCCTACCTGTATTTTAAAAATGGCCACCATTTTTGTCTCGTGAAATTCACTTTTGGCCCATTTCCACTCTATACAGACTGTTCTATACAAAAACAAGCGGAGCGGATATCATATGTGCAAGGTGCGGATATTTAAGGTTATTTTTGAATTAAATTTTGTGATATTTCACGACTAAGGCATGTTGGGTACTCAATAATATTTATACATGTGAACAGGTTCCCTAATAAAAAGGAAATTTTGTAAATGCCTGACATATACGGCAATGGTGTGCAAAGACCGAATGAAATGCATTTGCTTGTTTCGCCGTTCGGATTTTTACCATATCAGCATTTCATAAAAAGCGAGGTGTAAATATTATGGAACAAATGTGTGATATATATAGTGCTGATACAAAATAAACTAAATAGAGGGCTCCCACCAAAATGAATTTGCCTACATTCCCTTGAGACTCTTATCTAATATACAGAATGCACAAATAAAACAAAAGTTTTGCTATAGGTAAAAAGTTATCTTAAAAGTTATTTTACCTGTTAATTCTGTCATTGGTCCTCCATTTTTGCGGAAGTTACACTGAAACGCAAACTCCATGGAACGAAATGAAATCGCTAGAAAAAACCATGGCACACATCGTGCGAAAAAGCAAAGTTTCAACAAATCAGATTATTTTATTATTTTGAGCACATGAATTATTTGCTTCGGAGCACTTACCATAAAAGCTAACCACAATAAACAAACCTGGCGGAGATTAGCCTTACTTCATTTTAGCGAAATTTCAGCTCAAACTCGTGACAAATGCATTATGAATACGCTGGTATGAAGCCTTGAACACTCATTTTGGTAAATATGATTTAGAGTGTATACTTTTCTGCAGTTTGTGGGAGTTTTGGACATTAAATGTTAAAATTAAGAAAATATGCCAACTATACGACTTATCAATTAATTTGTTGCAGAACTGTACACATATTTCGGACCAAATGCGTGACATAAATGGCAATGGCGTATAAAGACAGAACCAAATGCTTTCTGATTTTTATTGTATCGGCGTTTGATGAAAAATGATTTTTAAAAATATCAACATAATACGTGATTTGAGTGATATTTGATCATACACACTAAATTGATGCGTGATTTCTATTTTTTCAGCAAATGCATGACAATCACTCCTAATGCGTTAGGGTTGACAGGACTGTGGTGATCAAGATCAATACAAATTATATTAAGCCATTATACCATTATAAAAGGCATTAATGTAATTTGAAATCTTTTTGAAGAGTATGCATGCAGTTTGTATTTTCTGGTAAAATAGGCATGCAGTTTGTGTTTTATAACTTTTTACTTTTTTCTCTCATGATCATCTGACCTAATTCGAAATTGTACATGTACGTGAGAACTTGGTTGAGATTTACCTATGAAACAAAATCAAAGTATTTTCTGTATCTGTGAAAAGTTTGACATCAGCTAATGTGTCGGTTATCAAAAAACTGATGACAATTTTTTGCTTAAATTCTAAAACCTACGTTCATCTGGACATAGTTTCTGCTATCACATGGTAGAATCAAATAATCTACACCGAATTGACATATGAAACTATAAAACAATGCAGAATTTATGTCTTAAAATTATGCTTGAAAACATGGACTCCAAGTTCTTTAATGCAATGTTGACAGGCATGCAGTTTGTTAGGTTTTCAAACTGCTTGCATAGTATGCACGCAGTTTGGATACGGCGCCCTGATTACTATTTGTTGAAAAAGCTGATAATGCTACATTTCTCACTTTTTGTGTAGTGGTTGCAAAAGAATTTTCTCACTTTTGTGTGTATACTCATGAGTGGACAGCAGGCTATTTCAGGTCATTGCATTTGAAAGCATCTTAGTAAAGTATTATGCTTCTCAGAGCTGTACTGACTTTTCTTTTTTGTATGTACTTTCAGATGCACTCCCCTGACCTTGGAGATGTAAAGTTCTGTCTTGTCCGAGAAATGTTGGATAGGAACTACAATCAGAACAATCTGTCTGCAGCATTTGTGCACAAACCATATCGTTGTGACTACTTCTGGTGACTCAGGTCGAGGATGGGATATGTCTCTAGGATCCTGTTCAAGTAAGTAGAGTATTTCATTTCCTAATGTTCAGTATTTCTTTCAGATTTACCTTTAGCCTGGAGTTAAGAAGCCCACTAGAATCTGAACTACAAATAGGAATCCAAGCTGGCCTTTGGAAGACCGAGGCACCTGTTGGAAGTTGAGTTGCCTGCTGGAAGTTGAGTTGCCTGCTGGAAGTTGAGTCACCTGCTGGAAGTTGAGTCACCTGCTGGAAGTTGAGTCGCCTGCTGGAAGTTGAGTCACCTGTTGGAAGTTGAGTTGCCTGCTGGAAGTTGAGTCGCCTGCTGGAAGATGAGTCACCTGCTGGAAGTTGAGTCGCCTGCTGGAAGATGAGTCACCTGCTGGAAGTTGAGTTGCCTGCTGGAAGATGAGTCACCTGCTGGAAGATGAGTCACCTGCTGGAAGATGAGTCACCTGCTGGAAGTTGAGTTGCCTGCTGGAAGATGAGTCACCTGCTGGAAGATGAGTCACCTGCTGGAAGATGAGTCACCTGCTGGAAGATGAGTCGCCTGCTGGAAGATGAGTCGCCTGCTGGAAGATGAGTCACCTGCTGGAAGATGAGTCGCCTGCTGGAAGTTGAGTCCCCTGCTGGAAGTTGAGTCGCCTGCTGGAAGATGAGTAGCCTGCTGGAAGATGAGTTGCCTGCTGGAAGATAAGTCTCCTGCTGCAAGATGAGCCACAAATAAGCATCAAGCCACAATTGGAAACCTAGCCACCCATAGGAATCCAGGTGAAGATGACCTACCTACTGAAAACCAAGCCGCCCTCTGGAAGATTAATCACTTGCTGGAGTGTGAGCCACATATGGGAAGCCAAGCCAAGATGACCCATATACTGGAAACTACTTTAACACGACCCCTGATGAGTTGCAATGTTCCTGTCACCCAAGTTAAGTAATCTTGATTTTTTTATGTTGTATTTTTTATGTTGTATTTTTTATGTCCTTTAAAGAGTCATCTCCAGCTAGACAATAATTTCCATCTATGGGTGGGAGGCAGGTTCTTCTCGTTTAGTGGGGCACCTTCCATTTTGAATGAACCGGTGGATTTTGTTGGCCAGCCCATTATTCTGGAGTGGAGGAATGTGGAGTCTGCTATGAAGCTGGATGGCTGAACATGTCTTAACACGAGATCAAGTATTGGGAGGCCTTCCTTTGTTCATGTTTTATGTTGTCCCGATTGATTTTGATGAATATCTAAGAATGGCATCGTTGAGCATGGGTCATTCTGATCCATTGCATTGAGAGCTCTGGCTTACTTGATCATACCATTTGATGTTCCTTGTGGTATCTCCACTGTGATTCTGATGATCAGTGTCTATCAATCTCTAGATGCATGGGTTCCAGGTATCAATTCCCTGTAAGTCCCAACCAACAGTTTCCGTGTTGGATTCTTATTGTTGAACTTGGTTCTTGTTTCGCCTATATTCTGATGGCCGGTGAAAGCCACAGTCACTCGTTAGTAAACGTGGTCGACCTGCACCCACCAGGATGCAGGTCAATGTATTGCTGTGGTGCCGGTGTGCATTTGATAGTTCCCGAGGGGTCTCGGTGAATTCTGGTGATGGTCCACTCATTTTTGCTCTCAAGCGTCAGTGACGATTAGCTGGCTATGACGGATATAGTGTGATTCTTAAGATCTTGTGAGGACGCAGCAAGGATTCACATGGATCTGAGCGGAATGGCATTGGAGTTGATACATGTTACCTTGTACTCTTTAGGTAGGTAGACATTGCTTATCAGTGTTACAGTAAGGATACCATCAGGAATTGATAGTGGTCTGGTCTTGTATTTCATCTTTTTAATGTGATGTATCCTAATGATGCATGGCCAAGGATGGCATTCTTGTTATTCTTCTCAATCTCTCTGGACAGCATACAGCATGAGCGAGGGGACGGTCACCCAATGTTTGATCTTTTGTTAAGGTGTGGTTGGCTTGAAAGCTTCCTAACAGGTTCTATGTTCTGAAATGAAAGAATAGTGGAATCCACCAATGGTTCATTTCAAAATGGAAGAGATGTGCGCCATATTTGGAAATGTTGTCTTCATATTGTTTTTATAAATTCACTTTCACCTGAGAGTTAACATACTAAGTATGTTAGTCTCAGTTTTTAGGTTTCAATTTTCAATTCTTTTTTTGGTGCGAGCTGGAAGATGGTTCTCTGTGTTGTAGCCTATTTGTAGCCAATTTTTAGTTTTCAACTATTTTTTTCTTGTGTTGAGGTCAGTGTTAATGTGACCATGATTTGGTCCAAAAAGCAATCAACTGTATAGGTATTTATGACCTAGACTATGATTGTTCAAAGCAAATTGTTCAGGTTTTGCAAATGATAATCCCTTGCTTGCTTTGGAGTTAAGGTAGTCATTAAAACAACTTTTCTCAATATAGGTGGTTTTAAGAGAGATGCTGACTTCTACTGCTTTGGACAACAACTACTACTATTGCATAGAAGATACTAATAAATCGATTTTCTCCTTGCACAAAATCACAATTTAGCCAGAAGTATGAACTTGGTAGAAGCCACAAAATGGATGCAATGCTGGAAGCAGTTTTGTATTATCTAGTTAAAATGTATTACTACCTTACTCCATCCCTCCTAATTGATTCTTTTTTTGGCAATTTGTTTACATTGTGATATTATCTGAGTATTACAGCATCTTTTTGTATTTTCAGCAAACCAGATCTTGGGCTGCAACACCAGGAACAGTGGTCTTGTTTACATGTGTTTGGTAATTTATGTTCTGTGACTACTGGGAAAATAGTTAATATTCTATCAATTTAGTTTTGATCAATATAATAATGCTAACTTTCAAGTAACAAGTTGCCAATTAATTCAGCGGTGATAAGGTGATATATTCATAGTTCTTAGTAAAGTGTACTTACTCAGCAATGATTTGATTTTTATGTCGCCACCAAAAGTAGTAACATAATGTTACATGTTTATTTCTGTGAACAAAGCTCTTTATGGATTGCGGCCAGCAATTGGTGTTCGTCTTCTGTAACAGATTGCATCTTTAACAAATGGCCAGTGGTGACATTTTGCATATTAATGCATTCTCTTAAAGTGATATTTAAACATACTCATCTGAAAATGGCCATTCCAGAGAGATGGGTATATTAACTTATCACTTTAAAGGAAAAAAGTCAAATCATTGCTGACTTTTTTCCTTTTTTCTAAGTACTTTCAGGTCATTACACTTCGAACCCCAATTGTGAAGTTATGTTAAAGATAGACAATCTACGTCAGCTCTTTGCAGTGTCTGTATCTACATGGCATATTATTCCTGCTAGTGATAGATCTCTTTAACTAAAGTTGCATCTTTGAGGAGGTGACAGACTTTGGATCCTGTTTAAGTAAGTTGAATTATTTAATAATTTACAGCGCATAGGAATTAATTTTTAAAAGATGAAACATGTTTTACCAGTATTCAGTAACGTTGTATAATAGTATGCTTTTTTGGAAAACAAGACTAAAGGTGAAAAAAGCTTGTTGTTGTGTGGATTACACAAAGCTTTATAAACCACTAAATTTATCTTGATATCATTCAATGATTCTCCTTAAGATCTTACATCTCATTTGTTTTGTGGTAAGGAGCTACTTGCAAAATGTTACAACTGACTGATTAGATCCTCTTTCAAGAGTTGACACTTGTTTTTGACCTTGGTTTTTCGTCAATTTAAACTGAGATTTTAAACCATCAATGTTGTATATAAGCAATAATGGACATACTTGCATTCATCAAGAACACATGTCTTGATAGAATGAAACTTGCAATGAATGGCAAATTTGAATGTAAAATACGTGGGCCTAAAGACTGTGTGATTGATCGTAATTATGAGTTAGGCATCTGCAACAAATTGCAAGGTGACATTTAATGATTTTGCATGTTAATGTTCTTCTCTTAAAATATACTCATCCCTGAAAAGATTATATCATTTTGATTTTAGACTGCAATGATGGTGGTTGGATGGACTTAGTAATGGCCTGGGATTACATATTCTGTGATGGCTTGCTATTACAAATTGTTTATCATACTCTTCTGTGGTACAACTAGTGACTTTGTAACCAAGTCCACAATGGACATGGAACTTAGTTATATTGTGCGCAATCCTTACCATGGAGAGAACAACATCATCATATTCTTCTGTGGCACAACTAGTGACATTGTAACCTAGACTACAATGGTGGTGAAACAATCCTTACCTTGGAGAGAATAGTATTATCACACAATACTGTGGAAAACCTGGAGACCTTGTAACCTAGACACAATGGTGTTTGAACTTCGTTTTATTTTGCGCAATTCTTACCTTGGGGAGACTATTACCAAGACTATAATGGACTTCGAGATTAGTTATAGACTGCGATCACATATTGGGTGAAATCATTAACTTGGAAAAGGGACAACATTACCTGATGTGCTTGTGACACCAATAATTCTGTGAATAATGGAGCTTTATTATGGACTGCTACTAAATATCGTGCTTAATTCTCATCTTCATAATCAACATTCAATTTTATGATATTATTCTGGGGCAGCACTTATCACTCTGTTACCTTGACTAAAATGGTCTTGGAACTTGGTTATTGACTGCAATTATATATTGTGTGCAATCCATAGCTTGTAGAAAACAACATTTTCATACTCTCTTGTGGCATCACTAATGACTTTGTGACCTACATGTTGTTGTGGACTGTGATTACATATTGTGTACAACCTTCACCTTGAAGAAAACAACATTATTGTACTCGTCTGTGGCACCACTAATGATTTTGTAATCCAAATGCTGTTATGGAGTACGATTACATATTTTGTACAACCTACAACTTGGAGAAAACCTTATCATATTCTGCTGTGGCACCACAAATTACAATCCTTACCTTGGAGAACACAACATTCACTTTACTTTACCTTGCATTTGGTGTTCATGAGTAACCCATTTGACTTATTAGTAATGATTATGTACTTGTTTTTATATGTCTGTTCCTCATTAATGGTTTATTGGTTGAATGTTATGTTACTAAGGCACTTTCAAAAATATACTAAACAATACAATTAGACAAACAAAGTATATTATGCATTTCTAGGTGTTAGCTATAGTAGAGTGAACATTAACGTACCCTTCTTTTGTAACCTAGACTAATGATGGTATAGTTATTGGTGGCGACTTCATATTCTGTGTTGAACAAATCGTGAGTTAATATATAATAGCAATGAGCTATATAAAATATGTGTACAATAAACCTAATTTATTGAATACTGTACTGTTTACTCCTATTGAACATCTGTATTACAACTGTTCAAACATATTCTGACTTGCTTGTCAATGTCTTAATGTGAATTAAAGAATTTTACAAAAACCTTTTCATATTCCTTTATAAATAAAATTGGTCAGTTTTCTATTGTTATTTTATTGAAGACCATAAAATAAAGAAATGACTGGCAAATCCACTATCCAATAGTATTGAAGACTCGATCTGTCCAGAGTTGGCATTACATTTTTCAATATAAATATTTTTCAGTTTTAAAGGAAATTTAACCAATGTTGGAATAGAATTAAGAATTGAATTATTGATTGATACAATTGCTATATTGAAACATAACTTGGTGAACACCTCTTTAGCATGTCTAATAGACACTACTTCAAGAAACATTTTGCATAGACTTGTGTAGAGTCTCATCTCTTAGTAAACATTTGCCTACAATAACACTATTTGTGGGTCAACACGGTAGTAAATTTTATACATGTTTTACTGAAAATGTATCGCAGGGCAGATTACTGTTCAAAATATGGAAACCCCAGCCAGAAATCCCTTAATTTCATGATTCTCCATTGAACATATTCAAAAGTTTAGTTTCTAAATAGCTAAATTTAGCTGATATTATAGATGTCGTCCTAGTTTCTCTTTGATTTTCTTGGGCCAGATCTTTATTCACTTCAATGCTCCTACTACCCCACCTCGATCACGCATGCGCGAGAATTTTGGCTTTTAACCAGGTCACTTTTGAGTATATTGACTGCTTTATTGGTCAACAAGTTGATACATTTGGTGTAATAGTAATAGTGTGAAAGTATATTTTTGAACCACTAAATGTAATTATCCAGATGAGAGTAGAAATAATCTTGATTTACGTCATTAAAACTCACAATTCAGTCAAACCGATGTCATATTTTGAATCTACATGTAAAATTACATTTAGAAATGTGGTTTTGAAGAGTTTATCAACTTTGAAAATTTAATTTTCTTTGAGAAATGTGACTTCTAGGTCGGGGAGATTCCCCATAGACCCCATGTTGTAAAACCACAAAAAGTGAAATATCTTTTCTTGTGTTGGGCAGATATTTTCTTTTATTGGACATATTTTAATTTGTATAACTATCGGATAC